GCCAGCCTGCTGGCCAGGATTGAACAGGCCTCTCATATGAAAGCATCTTGGGGAAAATGGAACTGTCCAGCCAGCATGGCTCAAGTAGCACTTTGTCTTCTGCATGATCTATAGGGCATGGCAGGCATGGTACAAGTTGCCACGGGTTTGCCCATAGGTTTGACCCAAAGGCTCCCAGTGCATGGCAGAAAGTAGGCTGTACTGGGCACCCAAACACGTTTCAGCTCTGTTGCTCCTGGTTAGTCCCAGTGGGAGCCCATAAATGACGAAGGCTTTGTCCTGGGAGAATCCTCTCAGAAACACATGTGTACGTGTGCCTATGCCCCCCATCCTCCTCCATCCCACCCCAGCCCCTTGGCTCCCTTCACAGAAAAGCAAGCTAAAGATTATTTTCAGAAAGGATAAAGAACTACATTAAAATCATAACGAAGTGTAAGTCTCTATCACTTTTGTTGCAGAGGTGTGTTAAAAATGGTATGTGGTAACTGGGTTAGCCTCAAGAAATACAGCATTAATGCAGCAAGAACACCAGGCACAGTGGCTGGTTCTTGGTATGCAGACCTTGTGAGGAAGTGGTTCAATTGTTTTCAAATTCTGGCTTGCATTAATTCCTCAACAACACCGAAGACCCTTCTCTCCATCCTCACATACTAAAATCCCTGTTAATGCTGCATCTCTACCCTTGAAGCTCCAAGACTGGAGGACAATTGCTTTTTGTCTTCACTGCCAGAGCTATGCCAACCTCATGCTGTATCTGTAAGTTCAACAAGCATTTCAATGTGGGCAATTAAGAAAATAAAAGTCACAATCTGACCTTCCCGGTGAGATACACTGAGAGCTGTTCTCTAACACTAATCCTAACCCATCAACTTCACGGGGCCAGGCTGGCCTAGGGGATCCAGCTCTCAGGTGGGATGAAATATGAGAACTGATAACAGTGCTTGGACACACACACACACACCCGGGCACCAGCACGCGGCTGCTAGAAACCTTCATGTGACAAAAATGTACATTCAGGAAGAAAAGGCAGCTTTCACATTAGTAAGTGGCAGATACCAAAGCTGCGAGCAAGTCACCCTCATCCTGAGCCTGCACTCTCCAGACCAGGGAGCTGCTCGCATGCATCCCCTGCCTCCCATTCAACTCTGGCAGGGTGGCTAGGATGGGAGGACATCCACTTCCCATACTTTATGATCTGAGATGCTCATCTCACAGGAAATAACCACAAAGGGTTTTTTGACACCATGGGCAGATGGGCTCATTCTCCTCCACCCATCCTGGTTCTCCAGGGCAGTTTTCTGCCAGTGGTGCAGACCCTGGTATGCCAAACTTGCACTAAAAGCATGTATTTTCTTCCCCTCCCTCACAAACCATGCTCACAAATTTCAACAGATGCTGCAAAGTGGCACTGCCCTTGGACTTCAGAGATAATAACATTTGAAATTGGAAAGGCCATTTAGACCACTTATATCCCACCTAGATCAGAATTCCAGCTGCTCTCTTTTGGCTGGACGACTGCTCAAGTTTTTCAAGTTTTGGAGGACAAAACTATTATTAATGAAACAGAAAGAAAGGAATTGGTAATGCTGAAGTGTGAAGCCTAAGATTATCTTAGAATAAATTTGGGCAGTATAATAAAATATCTAATCATACACATACTGAGCTTCTAAGAAATCCAAGTTTTCATGAAAATTCCAGTTGTGTCTTTAGAGAAATCAGAAAGAACTGATTCTAGCATATGAGTTTTTGTCTAAAGTACGGACTATCTGAGAACTAGCACCAAAACTTTTATGTAAGAAGTCTCTGATCCAAACCACAAATTTTATATGTAGTTTAATAATAACATTAACTCCTTTTTCACCCTTTGTTAGAAAATGTTGTTAACATGCATGTCCATTTGATAAACAATTATTTGAGTAGACACATAAATACTGAGTAGCACAAATAGAGTATAGTTTATGTCACTTATGAGTAACAAATAATCTAAACCACGTTATATTATAATATACTGTATTGTCACCTGATGGTCATTCTATCTGGATGAGGGGTCATGGTGCTTTGCAAATCTTCTTATACAAGCATATTAACCTACAAAGTAAAGCTTTGCATTTTTTGCATAACCAGAGCCTTGGACAGTTTTTTTTATGTGCAGCAGTATTATCCATGCATGGAGACAAATACGTATATATAAACACATGTATATACACAGAAGTTCAGGGGGAAAACCACATAAATAGGTAAATAAGAAAACTGATAATATATTGGTTTATGGGGCCTTGATATGCTTTATATGAGACTGAATTTTAAGGGGTTTTTTAACTTTACAACAGTCAGTACAACTTCTAAGTCCGTATGTACCACAACAATTGAATTTGTATCATAATAATTGCTAGCATTTTTTTACTTGGTTTTGGGTGATAGGAAGAAACACATACTATACATAAACTATGTATATGTATGATCAGATAAAAAGAGTGCATATATACAATCAAAAGGAAAGAAATACACTACTTATTCTAAACACAGATGCACATATATATGATGGGTGTGTGCACTTGACCTTTGTCCATATGGTTTGATGGGGGCTGTAACACTTGAGTTTTCCACAGCTCCCAGACCAGAAAATAAAAACATCAAACCTCAAGTGCAAAGCTGTAAACCACACCATTTTGGGATACACAATTGTGCAGTTTTTGTCCTCACTGCAGGTCACATCCTTGGTCTTAGTGGCATGAAACCCTTTTTTTCCAATATGGTAAATTCTTTAAAAATTCACTGTACTGATTTCAAATGCCCTGGACATAAACAGCAATGATAACACCACAAATAAAATTCCAACACATTTCTTTTCTGGCAGTTTGTATGACTTGCCAGATTTTGAGAATATTGGGATAGGGATAGGGATAGGGGGAGCATCTAGTAGCTGGATTTAAATGCCTAAATTAGACTTATAGAAGTGCCTGATCTTTTTCTTGTGATTCAACATTAAAATTGTAAGCGTTGCAGCTCAAAACCGCTTCAGGGAATGTTACTAGTTAATCCTGTGTGTTTTGGCGCCTTTTCCCTGCCAGCTACTGTACTTCAGAGAGGAAAAAAAAAAAAAAAAAAANAAGCTGGAAATCTTGTCTGTCCCGTCACAAGTTCAATGGCAGCACTTTCCAGCAGCGGGAGGAGAAGATGGCTATGTTCGCAGAACTAATAATAATTCAGATCACGCCACATCGGCATCTTGTGTCAGAGTCGAAACTGGCTTCCCCGCCCCCTTCAACCTGAGAGCTGCCAAGTCCTCACACACTCCGCATTCAACCACAACTTAATGGATGGGATATTGTGCATTAAAATGTGGCCCAGACACACAGGGGAAGAGAGGACAAGAGGGAAAGCAGACAGACAGACACACACACATACAAACAGGCACGCAAGAGAAAGGAATGAATTAAAATACACACACAGGTCCTACAACAAAACGGCAGTGAAAAAGAGCGGGGGGGCGGGGGGGAAGGAACAAAAAGAAACCCTCCAGAGTAACTTTAAAAAACAAGTCAGAAATGCCACCCTAACACTGCATCCTGCTATATAGCATGAAAGAGACCAGCACAAGCCTCCAGACAATTTATCGAGAGACGATGCACAGCAGCAATGTCATTTCCTCCATATGATACATTCAAATTGCAGTCCATTAACTACAAAAACCGCTAAAACAGCCAGAGAGAAAATATTACAATAAAATGTGAGTAAGGAAGCAATTTCTACAGCAACAAGAAAGAGAGTGGAAGATCTGTCTGTTAGGTACCAATAAAGTAGCATTTGCATTAATCCTTTCCAGCATTTAACTGATAGTTGTCTGCCAGAGGAAAGGGGGGAGGGGGAAAACTTGAAGCAGGAAACATGCCAAGTTCAGCACTTTTGGATGCAAACGCCCATCAACTGATTTCTGGCATAAAAGTGTGACCCACATACAAAAGCTGCCAAAAAAAAAAAATACAAACAATTCAATTCATCACTTATATCTTATCCTGTAAAGCAGAAGTGGTATCAGCATTTAAGAACAGGGTATAACACCCACTTTGAAACCACAGAGACACAATCTCAGCCTGGAAGAATTACAAAAGAGGAGTCAATTGAGTTAAAAATAATACATATATATGTAAAAAATAGAAATCACTTAAGCACCATGTACTATTGTGGTGTGTTGTATTAAATAAATAAGATCTTGAAATATGCGACACACCACTCGGCCTTTGGCTTCACGTTTTCCACAATTCATCTCAATTTTTTCAAGAACCCAGTGTGTTCAGTGTGTTTGGGTTTCTGTGGGTTTTGTTTGTTTGTTTTCTTGGCGACTTTTTTTTCTTTTTTTTTTTTTTTTTTTTTTTTTTTGTGGTGGTTGTGTTGTTGTTGTTGGTATCTCGTTTATATTTTTATTTTTTATTTCCAAAAATGGCCTTCTACCTTTTACTTTGGGATGGTGTGTCTGGGGGCTTTTTTGTTTTGTTTTGTTTGCTATTGCTGTTTTGGGACGTTGTGGGGGATTTCTTAAGATGAAGGGGGGATGATGATGATGATTATTATTGTTATTATTATTATTACCATTATTATTATCATCTCAAAATATTAGTAGTATTAGCAGTATTTGCATTATTTGTTTTATTAGAGTTATTATTGGCTTTGTTTTGGATTTATTTTGTTGCCAGTTTTTTGCCTGACACTGAACGGGATGAAAATTCTTGCAGTGAGTGAGGGAAAAGACGTTAAAGTCACAGCCTGTGGCAGAGCGCTCCTCCTCCTCCTCCTCCTCTCTTCGCAGTCTCCTTTCCTCTTCTGAGCTGCCGGGCTGCAGAACACGTTTCAGTGTCGCCTGACTTGAACTCGACCTAAGAATTCCTTCCCCCCTAGCCCAAGTTTTAAAACTCTTACATATCCACACACATACAGATGTGTGTTTTCACGGCAGAGACGCCTCTGAGCCTCCACGCCCGCGTTCCTCCTCCTTCACGCTCCGGCCATGGGCCGCTCGGCTGGGCCACGGCTGCTCAGCTCGGCCATGGGCCGCTCGGCTGGGCCACGGCTGCTCAGCTCGGCCATGGGCCGCTCGGCTGGGCTACGGCTGCTCAGCTCGGCCATGGGCCGCTCGGCCGAGCCATCGGCCGCTCCTCCTCCTCCTCTCCATGTCTCAGCGCTCCGCCGCCGGCCCGCGGGAAGCGCGGCTCTCCGCTTCCGCCTGGCGGCTGCCGCATGCAGCGGGGCCGCCGCGGGACTCTGCGGATTAGGGACGAGTAGTATTTTAGCTTAGCCCTCGCAGCCCACGCTTGACCAGTACGGTTCTTNGGTTGTGTAATTCCGTGATTTCAGATGCCACCGTTTGTAAACTATCACATCACACTGCTCGTTGCCTGTAGGATTAACTCCGCTCTAGAGGAATTGTTCTCCAGTCCTAAATCGACGGCAGTAAGGCAACCTCGCAGAGGAAGGATTTCACATCTAAAACTTCCTTCGCAATTAAAGCGCTTGCAATGAAATAAATAAAACTGCATGAGGTAAAAGTGTTTGAAGAGTTTTAATCGATCAGATAACAAATACGTTCCTTCCTGTTAAAAACTGGCAAGTACAAACTGTAAAGAATCTTCATAATTACTTGGAGACCATTGCTGGGAGTATGGGGGCCTCTCACGAAGTTAGTTTTCTTTTGTTTGATTCGAGAAAAACAGTTTAAGCATCTAAAAATGCAGTCTGCTCTTAAAATTAGGCAGAAATTGTCCTGAAATAGGAAAAGAATTTGAAATATAAGCTTTCTTACTTAAGAGCAATCACTGTAGAGTTCTGCTTAATTTTTCAGAGTTTGGCTTTGCTTTTACGAAGTAAAATCCTGTAACGAAGAAGTCAAACCTAGAAAAAAATGAATTATGAATTTGTCTGTTCAGTGAGCAGGGGAAATGATTGTTCATGCTATGTATGGCAGATTTTGAAAATTTTACACCAGCCAGTCAGTCGAGTGGAGAGCAGACTTTTCTCCATGACAAATAAAGAATCTGCATTTGTTAATTTTTAAATTTTAAATGTTTTTCCTTTTTTATAAAATGAACATTTTGTATTTGAAAGTTGCACACAGTTAAAATTTTGTGCTAGTCATCAGTGCTTAGCAGAATTTTGCAAGAACTTCAGCAATATTTCGTTTAGATCTTGAGGCTTTTTGTTGTTGTTGTTGTTGTTGTTGTTGTTCCTTATATTTGATTTTGGTGCCACTGTTGTGATTGCTGACAAAAATTCAATTTCTGGTAGACAATCCCATTACTCCTGCATCTTTCTCTGTTTTGTTGACTGCTTGGTTGTTTTTGTTGAGTTTGTATATTTACTAAGCCTATCTTTGCATATGATTTAGCAAACAATTGCTAAATTGTTTATATTATATCAAGTGACAGAAATAGTGGCATCAAGAAATAAGTATTTCAGTCCTTAGAAAAAATGTATTGCACAAAGTTGTTGTATTTTATCAGTTTAGTTTAAACCTAGGTGGTCATAAGCAACTTTTGTGAACATATTTTTAAGTCCTAAAATCACTTCCATCGCTTTTGATTTCTGAGTTCCATAGTAGTAACATGGGTTGATTATGGTTTTTGCTCCATAAATGTAATCAAGGGCTCATATATTTTGTGGCATGCTGACCTTAAGTTGTGTTGATTCTGGATTTTTTGGTTTTCTGAGGTTTTCCTATCTGTATACTTGATACTCTTTAGCATTCAAAATGGATGAAACATGAAAAGATTGTAAATAGTTTTCTTCCATGGATAATTGCTACCAGGTCCGTTACTCATCTGTGTATGAGTAGATAGCAATCTGAAGGAAGATAGACTCACTTGCAGAATTTCCACTAAAATAAATAACAAAGAATTATTTTACATCTTTAGAACAGAATTTGTGAGGAATATCAAATGTTTCGAGACATTATTTTTTAAGATGCTGCTGTAAATTTGCTTTATTAATATCTCCGTGTTTTCAAGATTTGCTTACTACCTGACAGGACAGGAAAATTAAATAAGTGAAAGGGGACCTGGTGTATCAATGGCTTGACAGTCAAGTCTGTGAAGAAGTCCAGTCATGGGATAGGCTGAGCAAACAAGGATCACGTTAAGCAACAATGCATAGGCAGGATCTCAGTACAGTTTGACTGTGTGCAATGTCATAAGCCATTCTTATTCATAACAGGACAGCTGAGAAAACCACATGGCTTTGGGTGAATACATCATTTTGGACATGTGAGAAAATGCTCTTGCCCTACCAGCTTAGAAGCAGGAGCTTCCCACTTTTCACAGAAAGGCCACTGTAGTAAAAAGTTGCTGCTTCTTATTCCTGAAACAGCCCTTTCAGGTTTGTCTGAGCAGGGCACCATGAAAACTGCATGAATTGCACATGTGCACAACACTTGCTCATTACTTCTGGAAGTTCATACTTTAGCCATGCTGCTCTTTACAGGACCCCAGCCCCACCGAGCCTCCTGCACAGTCTCCTAGCAGCTAGGAGAATTATAACTCTCATTTTGGCAGTGGTGGAATGATTCCTTCTGTTGCTTCCCCCAGGCAAGCACTCTACAGTCCTGGGTGAAATGCACTGGGCAAAGAGATGGAGAGTACTGGTCAGAAGGCTTGCAGAGGCTCCTGTCAGTAATTCCCCGTGTTGCCAAGCAAAGCCTGGAGTTCCCACCCACTAGGGCAGGGTCAAGTGCCAGTTGTTTCCTGCTCTGCTCTGGCATATTAAATAGGGGAGAATTCAAGCAGATCGCATAAATTTATTTCTAAAATTCTGTGACTTCTGTAAGAAGAAGCAAAGTTGTTACAATAGATCAGATTTTTCATTTTGGATAATTTTCTTTTGGAAAGAAAATATGGCATGTACAGTTTTAGTCAGCAACAAATGTTCCTTTTCTTGTCCAGGAAAGCGACTGCAGAATCCTGACAGCATTTCTTCCTGCCTAATTAAGAGTGTCATACCATGTACTTTTATTTATTTAGACCTCTTCTTCTTTTAAAATACGGCAGAAACACTATCACAAAATCTCCACTTAACCACATCATCACCAAAACAAATTAAAAGATTAGGAGATAAGTGAAACACTGAAAGGTAGGAAATATTGTGTATCGAGAGCCTTCAGCTCTTCAACTCTCCTTAATAATAGAGCAAAGTGTAATTTCTTCCTCCGCACCCTTGTTTCTCTCAATCCACAGGATTGCTAAGGAACTGTAACATCATTGTTTTTAATAGGAAAAAAAAAAAAAAAAAAAA